AGCAGTTCAGTAATTTCTCCATAGTCACATGGCTATTAAGGTGCAGGCAGTGTGGCTTCAGAGCCCGCTGTCTGATCCACTTTACCAGTAATGGTTCTTAATTGGTTGTACATCAGGATTATTGGAGTTGAGATGGTGTTTCACTTGCTACAGGATGGTTTCGGACACCAGTAAGACCCCTGGTGATTCTAATGTGCAGTTAGGATTGGCAACACTCTGTATTATTTTTTTAAAGATACATTTATTCAGCGTCATGATCACACTACTACATTTAGCAATCAACAGCATGGGTGCAAAAAAAATCTACATTAAAACCCTTTGTTGGAATGCTTTACACTTTCCACAGAACAGAAACTAAAATAGCCTGTTATACAATTATTCACAAATACAGTCCTCAAGTTTTTTGCCCATATACATGAGTATTTGTCTAAAACATGTCTTCTTTATAGCATCTAGGCCCTGCCACCACTGTGCTTGGCTGAGTTCACAAAACTGTTGTAACCTGTAGCTTCCCTGTCACTTCTCTGGCTCTCCTCTCACACTAAGCTTTGTTTCCTGACAGTAATTAAAATCTTCTGACACTGCCATAGCTACTGCTGCTACTGGAACTGGCATAGCCACTTTGGTTTCATGGTTTGGTCAAGTATTGGCCTCTACCACCATAGGGGCCAGAGCTTCTGCCACCATTGTCCTCCCTTCATGGGTTCAAAATGTGAAGACTGACTGTTGTAATTGTCAAAATCATTCTTTCACCACTTCCAGAATTGCTTCCATCATTATCAAATCCATTGTAGCCATCCTCACTGCCACCATATCCACCATCACCATGGCTGCCACCAACCCCACCATGACTGCTGAAGTTTCTTCCACGACCAAAGTTGTCATTCCCATCAAAACCACTTCCACGACCACCATCAAAATTTCCAGAACCGCCTGCTCCATAGTGACATAGTGACAAACCCAAAGCCCCGGCGCGCTTGGTGTTGGGATCTCTCATGACCACACAGTCCATGAGCATTCCCCATTGCTCAGAATGGCTCCTCAGGCTCTCACTGGTTGTTTCAAAGCTCACGCCTCCAATGAAAAGGTCCAATGAAGAGCTTCCATAGCTGTTCAGGCTCTTTAGGAGACTGACTTAGACATGATGGCAGGGGGAGGAGAGACTTTAACGATGCTTCTTCAGCAGCATCCACAGGCAGCCACTGTGTACTATTTCATACAGCATCTTCATTATATGTAGATAATATTTTAAAGTCTGTTTGAAAAATTCTAATCATAATAATGGGTACTTTAGTTCATATTTTGATTTGGACATTTTAATGTCTTTTTATAGGTAGAGCTTGAATTGAGGCAAGTATTTTGTTTAAAAAATTTTTTTAAATCAGTTCTCTATTTTGATTTGGGTATTCCTTCCTAAAATTAATGTTTAAAGAGTATTGATTTTAAAATGTGTAATCATTTCATATACAGAAAGCAAGGACTGAAGTATATCATAGAGTAAATGGTGGGCTTATTTAAATTGTGTTATACCCAGCAGGTTAATTAACCTTCTACAAAATTGATTTAATTCAATATAAAATAATCTTCATAAAAGTGTTTTCTGTCTTATTTTGTGTTTATTGACATTTTAATATTCAATATTAGACTTTAAGAATGCAGAAGAAAACTTTTAAATTCTATTTAAAAGTACTTTATAAGATTTATTTTTAAAGTACAATAAATAAAACCATAGGTTTGAAAGTAAAGTTTACTAAAATCTAGTTCTGTTGTCTCTGAATCAATGATATAAATTTATTTTCTTAAATTATTGCTGTATGATCTCCAGCATTCACTTGTTTTGCTCTGAATAGTTGGTTACTGATTGCAGGACGTCTCCACCAGAGTGTGCTCAAGACACTGTAGTGGGAAAAGTGTTACTTAGGCTTGCCTAGACTTTCTAGCCTCTGTGAAAAAGAAAATTTTTTAAGAGAAGCGTTTGATTTCTTGTTACAAAATTTCTTTTGCCATGAAATAAATTCTGTACATTGACAGTTGAGTAGTTCTACAGACACTGTAAATGAAGAGTATTTAATCTCTCCGTTGTTGGTTCTCAGTGTGCGTGCTAGCTAGAAGTATCTTTATTTTGTGAAGTTATTTTTTAGAAATGAAAAGTTCATCTTCCTTTACACAATAGGTGTTGATTTTTTTCTCACAATAAGTATATTTTTTAAAGCCTGAATAAAATGAACTGGAAAAACTAGTAATTTGTGTTATGAAGTTAAAAAAAAACCTTGTAGTTTATCTATTATGTATGCTTTTATTTTAAAATAACTAAATCAGTAAATAGATTTAATATTTGCAATTCTAGTACAAAAGATTATTCTCGAAGTATTATTAGTTAGCTGTGCTAACCATTATTGTATGTCGATGCATTAGAGTAGGGTGTGAAAGTTGTGGCCTATTTATATTTGCTAAATTTCTAAGTGAGCATTTTATAAACTGATTATCTGACAAAAGTACTTAATGACAATAGCTATTTTTTTTCTTTTTCCTTCCTAGATACCTGCACTCAAATAACATAGTTGTGGTTCCGGAAGGTATGTTTACTTAAAATTTTTAGTTAGAAGATAATATAATTTAAGCTTTGCTTTATAAATAGAACAAATTTTAATTTTAAGACACCTTTAATTTTTTAGCTTCAAAACTTTTTTTCTTCTAGTAAGTCCAGTTAAGAACTATAATTAAATAAAAAAGTCTAAAATGGTTATAATAGTTAGGTAAACTATTATTAGATAAATTCCTATTAGGTAGATAATAAGTTCTAAATTTAATAAATCTAGTTAAGAATTCTGGTCAGATAAAAAAGGCCCTGTGTATCATTTCTTGAATTATTTTAGTTTTAATGTTTTTATTTGTGCTGTATTTTAAGTTATATTTTATCTTGAGCTGGAAGTATTTATCACTTTCTTCAACTTAGTTTGATCCGTGTTTTTACTGTTTTGTGAGCAACTGAGACAAGGATATTAAGTAGTAAAATATTTTAACTTGGAATACTTGCATTACAGATTTGATGTAATACTTGAATCAAATTCATTTTGGTTCTCCTTTTCTCTTTGAAGCCATTGGGTCTCTTGTAAAACTCCAATGTCTGGATCTTAGTGACAATGCCTTAGAAATTGTTTGCCCAGAAATTGGTCGTCTGAGAGCTTTACGTCATCTTCGATTAGCTAATAACCAACTGCAATTCCTACCTCCAGGTAATCATAGTCTATAGCACACAATAGTTTCTTGTCTAGTATAAATCTATATTTCTTCATATTTCTCACTGTATGTCTAGGCAATGGGCTGTAGATGTATTTGTAAGTATTTGTCCATTTGTTTGAAGATGAAACTTTAAGGAATGGGCGAAATATTACTAAGAGTCTTTTTTGTGATGCAAATGTAAAAAGGTAGCATTTATATTTTAGATATAGCTACAATTACTACAATTGTGCATTGCAACCAATATCCCTTTGAATTACTGCTTTGGCAAAATATTTGTACAAAGAGCTACTTCAATTCTGAATTTCACATAAGAGAATTTAGGTGAGCTTTGCATGATATAATCATTTCACTATCCAAAAGTCAAATACATGCAGTGTTTTCTCTTATTCTCCAGTGAGGTAACTAATGTACATTAACTTTTTTTTTTTTTTTTGAGACGGAGTCTCGCTGAGTCGTCAGGCTGGAGTGCAGTGGCACAATCTCAACTCACTGCAATCTCTGCCTCCCAGGTTCCAGCGATTCTCCTGCCTCAGCCTCCCGAGTAGCTGGGACTATAGGCGCGTGGCCCCATGCCCGGCTAATTTTTGAATTTTTAGTAGAGACAGGGTTTCACCATGTTGACCAGGCTGGTCTCAAACTCCTGACCTCAAGTGATCCACCTGCCTCGGCCTCCCAAACTGCTGGGATTACAGGTGTGAGCCACCACGCCTGACCTAATGTATGTTAACTTTGATTTTAAAAGGAGTCATGCTAAAATTTAGTAGAACAATTTACATTTGAGACTTAGGATTGTCTATTCTGCCTGCTGAACATGTAAGTAAATTATGAATGTACCTTATAGATAGGCAGTACTAAAATCTTGGATTTTATTGACAGCCACCATTAAACCCTTTGATTGCTTGGGAGGAGCATCCAGAGACCTTGCTTTGTGAATCCACATATTTGCAAATCCCACTCTCATATATGATTTCATGTATTAAAAAACATGATAATTAAAAAATAAAAAACTTACGCTTCAGGTATTATATGAAAGTTACTGTGTATTCAAGAATGAGCAGAGAAAGATACAGATGTTAATTTGTCTGAGATTATTTTTACTCTTTTGAGTAAAACCAACTCGAGAATACCAACCAGCCTTTTAGTGTATCTAGGTGAAATATGTGACTCAAACAAAATTACAAATTACTACCTGTCATAGAACTTCAGGGTAACATGAGAATGTTAAAAATTATGCATGTTAAACCCACGAATGAAAAAGTCTATGATATTTCTTTGTTTTTTCAAGTACAGAAATGTCTAAATTAAAACATACTAATGGATTAATTTTTAGACTTTATGTTCCGGCCTTAATATATAGATTCAATACTGTATATAAAAATGGCACCAGTCAGGCTGGGCACAGTGGATCACACCTGTAATCCCAGCACTTTGGGAGGCCAAGGTGGGTGGATCACCTGAGGTCAGGAGTTCGAGACCAACCTGGCTAACATGGTGAAACCCCATCTCTACTAAAAATACAAAAATTAGCTGGGTGTGGTGATGTTGTGCCTTTAGTTTCAGCTACTTGGGAGGCTGAGGCAGGAGAATTGCTTGAACCTGGCAGGCAGAGGTTGCAGTGAACCGAGATCACACCACTGCACTCCAGCTTGGGTGACAGAGTGAGACTCCACCTCAAAAAAAAAAAAAAAAATTGGCACCAGTCAGCGGTGACTGTGTTTTAAAAAATATTTTTTTACCCTCATATAATGAATGTCTTTTTTCTAACTATAGTTAATATAAAAATTTTTGACACAATACAGGAATATGGTCTTTCCTTTATTTTATATACATCAGGCCAATGGTGTTTCATCATTCTAGCTTTCATCAAGTTTGTACATTCAGATACCTAGAAAATGAGATACTCTTTTGAGGATTGCCTGGAAAATGTATCAGTAAAGATAATACTTTACATTTTTCTAACATTTTCATATATGAAACTTATATAAGATATACAACCAAAATGCATAAATATGATGCTGTATTTATGAACTCTTTTTTTTTACATACATTTAAAGAATATACAAAAAATACAATTCTGCCAGACATGGTGGTTCACATCTGTAATCCTACCACTTTGGGAAGCTGAGGCAAGAGGATTGCTTGAAGCCAGGAGTTCGAGACCAGCCAGGGCAACATAGTGAGGCTTTGTCTCTACTAAAATCCAACAATAATAATAATAAAAAAATTAGCTGTGCATGGTGACACACACCTTAGTCCTAGCTACTTGGGAGGCTCAGGTGGGAGAATCTCTTGAGCCCAGGATATCAAGGCTGCAGTGAACTCTGATTGCAGTATTGCACTCCAGCCTGGACAACGGAGTGAGACTCTGTCCCCAACCCCCCACAAAAAACAATTCTGTGATAAACCATTGTTCTGGGTGTTGTATTATTCTGTCTTTTCCTGTAATATAAAAACATGATGTAGTAGAATATGGTCATTTCCTTCCATTATATATCTTAGAGGTTAAGGATGTACTTCTAATATCATTGACTGCTTCTTAATAACCAGTGAAGGCTATATGTTTTGTGACTACTTTCATATAATTTATTTATATCTCTCCTGTTACACAAGAAATTTGAGGCATATACTTGTGATTTTATTTTCCTGGGTTTGTTTCTATTTGTGTTTGCTTTTGCTTGTTTTGAGTAAAATTATATACATTAACAGTTATACATTTTGGATAGGAACTTTTGATTGAGCCATGTATACAGACTTTATTCTTTCTTGCCACCATGAGTAGCAATGGACTAAGTTTTACCAATTATTTGATTCACTTTATACATCTCATGAGGTGATTTCAGATGTTATGATTTAAGTATGTAAGGGGCTAAGCATACATCCCCTAAATGCTTTATTATGTTTGGAGACATACTGTGGGAGGGTATTCTAAATGTGGGAAAGAAATGTAAGGGACTGTGATCTTGTCCCTATTTGACCACAGTAGGCACCAGTTGATATCTGCTTAATAAGCCCCTTCTCCATAGTCCATAGTCCATGCCAAGACTTGTCACATGTTACATTCTCTTAAAAGACTTAACATTTTACCATGTTTTTTTGTTGTCATTGAAAAGCCTTTGAATATAATTTTATAGTTTTATATCCAATATTTAAAATTTGCCAATTAGTTCTCAAAGTGGTTATGCCATTTTACACTGTTCTCTCAGCAATGTATGAGAGGTGCAGTTACTCCACATTCTTGCCAACATTTGGTGTTGTCTATTTGTTTGTTTAGCCATCATAATGGGTGTGAAGTAGTATTGCATTTTTAAAAAATTCTATTTAATTTGCATATCTCTCTTGACTAATGTTATTTAGCACTTTCTCATGTATTTATGGGCTATTCCAAATCTTTTTGAATTATAGGAGATATCTCCCTGCTTTAAAGACCAGCTGCCAGCAGGTTCAGTTGCTGAGGAATTCTCTTTGCTCTCCAGTTTGGCTTCTGGCTTTCTGTGACTTGAGAACTCTTTGAATCCTGCTGCTCCATCCTTGGCCTGTAAAGGTTGACTATCATCGCCCTGTACTCTGTGACGGTGGGTCTTGCCTCTGAGAAGTTTCTCTTGGCTTTTCTGTTACCACCTATCCTCCAGGTTTTCCCTTGCTGGAAGCCTAGAGTACATTGAGGAAATTATCTCAGTTCTTGCTCTCTTTCCTTGCCCTCATTTTTGGTGAAGGTTGGTGGGACAGAGTGGTTTGTGTGTCTGTGTTGAGCAGGGGGATTTATTAATAGTACAGTCTTTCTATACCTATGGATCCTCTGGGTTCTACACGGGTATGTCCACATAGAGCTTTTAAAGTTAGACTGTTTTCTCTTTAACCATTGTCTGTGGCAGATTTCTTTTCCCACCTCTATTTCAGTCAGGGATGATAGCAGCCAGGGATCTCTTCTCTTTGAAAATGTGCTTCTCACTCTTTGAAGCTGATTTAGTTTTCCCCATGTCCTCAGTCTCTGATGGGTTTTTATTCAGCTTGTTTTAGTTGTGAGAGCGATGATCTCTTTGGAGTTTCTATTTTCAAATTGGAATTAAGTCCTCCTTATTCCCAACTGACTTCCACAATTTGTTTTTGGTTCCTCTTTGCTTCCTTTCTATTTTTGGATTACTTGAGTGTGTTTTAGTGTTCCATTTTATTTCCTCCATTGACTTTTCTCTAGGCTTCACAATATGCTCCCTTAACTTATTACATTTAGAATATTGTACCATTTCATGTAAATTATATACATTTATTTATTATTGTGCATATTTTACAACAGTATACTTCCTTTTACCCTCCTTCTTTTGTACTACTATGTCATATATTTTATTTCAATATATGTTATAAACTCCTTAAGATAATATTATTTTTGCAAGTCAGTTGTCTTTAAAATACTAACACTGGGCACGGTGGCTCACACCTGTAATCCCAGCACTTTGGGAGGCCAAGGTGGGTGGATCACCTGAGGTTGGGAGTTTGAGACCAGCCTGACTAACATGGAGAAATTCCATTTCTACTAAAAATACAAAATTAACCAGGCATGGTGGCACATGCCTGTAATCCCAGCTACTCAGGAGGCTGAGGCAGGAGAATCGCTTGAACACAGGAGGCGGAGGTTGTGGTGAGCTGAGATCACGCCATTGCATTCCAGCCTGGGCAACAAGAACGAAACTCTGTCTCAAAAAATAAAACACCTAAAAAAATTTTCCTGAATATTCACTATTTCCTGTGCGTTCTATTCTTTTTTTCTTAAGAGACACAGTCTTGCTGTGTTGCCTGAGCTGATCTCAATATCCTGGCCTTCTAAAGCACTGAGATTACAGATGTGAGCCACTGCACCTGGCCATTTTTTCCTCTAGATTTAGTTTCCATCTGTCATTTCTCTTCAACCTGAAGAACTTCCTTTAGTATTTGTTTTAGTGCAGTTCTACTGGCAATGAACTATCTCAGTTTTTCTTTATGCAAAAATGTTATTTCATTT